AACATCAAAATGTGGCTCCTGTCAGTCTACCGCTGCCCCCCCCCCCCCTCCCTCCCCACTCCCCACCATTACCCGCCGCCCCCTCTGGCCGCCATTTTGTTAGCACGCGAGCTATGACGGCAAGATCGCGTTCGTTAATCTAATATTTTTTTCTAAATCCTCATTCTTTTGCATATTTAACGAACGGAAAAAGGTCAAGAGAGAGGGTGATAAATGCGGTGATGATATAAAGGTAGTGAATTTAGGATGGAATAAGCTGAGGAAAACGTAGGTAAATAATTTATTGCGTTTTAAAGTCGTATTTAGGTTAGTCAATCTTTTTTTTCCCGCGCGAAAAAATATCGAATTTCTGTCGTAATTTAGTTCATTTTCGAATGCACTGAGTACTACAAAGAACAAAATGAAATAAATAAATAATAGAGAAATAAAATTAATTAAATCATCGCAAATCATATTCTTAAGAACTAGGTCAGGAATCAGTATATCTATATTGAATTTTTAAATATTTAGTAAAAGCATATTTGCCAACGTTCGCTTATATATACCTATATATATTTAAAGAAAATATGTGATAAAAATAACAGTGTATGGAAATAACAATTATGTATACCTGTGTATATTTACAATTACAATAATCAAAACATTTTAGCAAAATTAATTATTCTTAAAACACTGGCGATACTGATAAATAAAGTTGAGAAAAATACAAATAGATAGAGTTATACATATACATATATATACATACAATTATATATATATATATATATATATATATATATATATATATATATATATATATATATATATATATATATATATATATATGTAGCATACACACTTTCTTCCCTTAAATTCGATCTTATGGCATACATAAGATAACATAATATTATTCATTGCACTATTGCATTATTAATTACCTTCATCATAATCATTTTCTGTGATAATGAAGAGAGAAAAAAATAATTTTCCTTGATTTAATTACAGGTTCGATACAAAGTCCTACAATTATACTATTCGCTGTCACCATTACGATGCATAATGAAGATAAAAAATTATACATATTTTTTCTAAACCTCGATGCTACCAAATGCACCTCATAAAATTAAAAAAAGAAAAAAAGAAAGAAAGAAAGAAAGAAAGAAAAAAAACATACACTCGTTTCCCTTAAAGATTATTTAATTACGTCTTTATCCCGTTATTCATAAAACTTTCACATTATTTATAAGTATAAAAATAAACCAGAAAAATAAACGATATAACAATAAAAAAGACAAAAGTCTTTTTAAAACACGTGTTAAATTACAACCCCGAAGCTACTAAATTAAAACGAAAAACGAAATTAAAAAAAACATACATACGTTTCCCCTTAAATTCGATTTAATTACAGGTACGAGACATCACGTGACCTCCCTCTCACTTCCTCCTAGTCTCAAGGAGGTGAATTTTTCTTCCTTTTAGGCCAAGGTAAACAGACGCAGGATTTCCAATTTTTCATTCTCTTTCATTTATTTTTATTTTCGTTGTTGTTTTTTTTCCGTCTTTTCGCTTTTTTTTTTGTTGAGTTTGAAAGCGTTTTTAGAACTTTGAGAAAAAAACTGAGGATTGGTATAATTGGAGACACACACACACACACACACACACACAACACACACACACACACACACACACACACACACACCACACCACACACACACACACACACACAATCTATCAATCTATCTGCCTATCTATCTACATATAAGCACCTCAAAGACAAAGCATAAGAGAGAAAGAAATTATTGATTTCTCAACCAGACAATAATTATAACGATATAAACACTATATTTACACTCGCTCTAAAGACCAATATACATTCCCGTAACAAGAAAGAAAAAATGGAAAAAGAAATGATAAAAAAACGATTTCTCTATAAAGGTGAGTGTTAATAGGCGAGGAGAGAAGACAAGATAAAGAAATTTGAGAATGAAGCGCCATTTTGACAATATGGCGGACGGGGTTTGTTTACATTGGCGCGAACCTAAAATTTATGGATTTTCATTATTTTTTCCAACTCTATCTTTCTTTTCTTGTTTTACGACATGCCTGTAACAAATTGAATTTATTTTTAATCTTTCTTTCACCCTTTCATCTCTTTTTTCATTTTCTCACCCACTCTTTTTCATCTTCTCAATATGTCTGTAAATGATTTCCTTAATCAATATCTCTCTCTTTATTTATTTATGGTTATCTCAAATTTTCACACATTTTCTTTCTCTCTCATTCCCAAAAATTATCCTCTTTCTCTCCTCCCTCCCTCCCCCATCTCTCTCTCTCTCTCCCTCCCTCCCCCCCATCTCTCTCTCTCTCTCTCTCTCTTCTTTCGCTTTCACTTTGTCCATTCTACTTCCCTTTCACTCTCCGTCCTCCATTCACCCTTCCTTTTACTCTACACTTAGCTTGTGTGTTTTTCAGAGATCGCAATCTCAAACAAACTATTTCTTCTGGCTTTTGTCCCACAGTA